ATATGCAATGAGGAGCTTTTGTCTGCTACTGAAGCTAAAGAGAATAACCTGATGGTCGAGCAAAGGGCGATGGAGCAAAGAATGTACAAGATATTCGTTGGCCATTACCTTTCATTCTCTACAACACCCCGGTATAAACGTAAACTTAGGTTTGGAAAACTTTAAAACAAAATACTCTCTGTTAATTAAATTCATTTGTTTATTTAAAACGAATTCATATCTGTCCGTGTTTTATTCATGCTTCCTTTAAGATTCTGAAAGTAGAATCAGTGCATCATCTTTGACCAGTTTTGGTTTGCCGTTGATTAGCACGACACTTGGATCAACCTTCCTATTTCAACCTGCTATTCAAAGTTGGTGGGTGTCTTTGCCCTATTACGAGGTGTGTTTTTTATCTCCTTGGTTTAGGCAGGTGATCTGTGACGCCAACGACCCGATATCGCTCGTTTCAGAGTTTTGTACTTTAAATGCAGAGACCGGTACCAAAGATGAGGGACCGCTGGCGATCATTCGGAAGAATGTCAAGTAATGATTTTACCTGTCCTTGGAGATTTGCCATGTATTTAATGCATTCTAATATATAATATCGTCCCACTGTTCAGTAAGCAGTTTGGGGTCTGATTTAGATTTACCTCGACCTGTCAGATGTCGTCATAAATTCCCTCGTGTCGTACCGTCGCTTTTTAGCTAGTTGCCTGCCACTGATCATCGTTAAGTCTTATCTTTTGGAGTTGTGTTGTGATGCAAAATGTTCTGTTCGGTGTCAGTGATGAAGTATCGGTTGGTAACTTGAATAGCAAGCCAGCCTCATTCACTTGCTCCTTTTTCAAGGATGCGAATGGTTTAACTTAACAGCTTTACAACACACTTTAGTTGAGCATATCGCTTTTTGTAGGTTCTTATGCCATTCGGGACTAGCAGCTTTTCATTCTGCAGAAGAAGGCAAACTGTTTGAGGGAAACGATTAGACTGCGTGCGATGATGACCATTTAGCTGTAGATATACTCTCTGTATGAATAAACAACGCACTTCTGGCTGGTTACATCGATAAGGACCATTGACAAAATTACTGCAAATGACGTTCATCATAAAAATTTAAGTTTAGTTCGCTCTGGTCAGAAATTGGGCGATATATAAAAAGGTACGGTCTCAATGTATTTTACTGCAGAGGTAAAACCTTAGGAAACCTGTTATGTAATAAGCTTGATCGCTCCACTCCAGCTTGGAGATTAGAAAGGTCGT